GGTGCACAATTTCTGCAAAATTTTGTAGGCAAAAAGATCCATTGTCAAGTGTAGCAATACATCAAGCATTACTCACAAATAAGTTATTTTGAAAAGCAAGCAGCTTTCTGATGGCCAATGTAACCAGTTCATGTAACAAGCTTGCGAAAAATCTAAGTGTGAAATCTGTGTGCAAAATCTTTTGCCCACTTGAGAAATTCCTGCTTGTGTAGATTACTATTGAAATGACTGGATTTCACCTGGACAATTTTGTTGAACAATGATTGCACCTTTACAAAAATCTGGAATGTGATGACACCAGTCCTTAATTTATCAAATTTGTTTGGCTTAGCAGTGTTCCACAAGTGCTGATAGTTGAACAGCACTGGTAAGTGGTTAGAAGCGACCTGCTTTATGAGTGAGCCGTTGAATTATTCACTCAAACCATTTGAATGCACGGGGTTCTTTCTACTTTGACTTTGTTTCGAACCATATTCATTGGTGGAACAAAAACAGACTATTCCTAAAATTCAAGTTACTTCTGTTTTATAAAGTAATTGCATTCATGCCATGGCGGAAAGATTCCAACTTGCAAAAAGCATTCACGCCCTAATAAGGCCAATTCACACTGCACTGATAGACGCAGACAAACAGCAACAGACACTTGTTTTGTCTGATTAGTGTGTTACCCCGTCAGCATCTGTTGGCGTTAATCGATGCTTGTTTTTGCCAAATGAACATGTTCGTCAATCAATGTTTGTCGGGTCTTGGAGCATCTGAGAAGTGGTTTACTGTACTCGATTGGCTGTTGCCATTTGGTCTGCATCTGTTTGTGTGGTGTGAATTGGCCGAACTTACATAAAGACTCAAAATGACAATGGCTTCAGCAATAAAATGTAGTTAAGTAGTTACTTCGGAATATTTAAGTTTAGTACTTTATGTGATTGGCTACTGTTATGTCTTAATAATGATCGCTGAAAATAAAGACGTGTATATTAATTACGGAAAATACACAAATTAATTTTGCTGTTAATAACGTTGCCATTGAAACACATAATTCCGAGTTCAAGGACGTCAACAACTCCAAGTAGAATGATTATAGAATTGTCTGTTTGTTCTCACACACACACACACACACACAGGTTTACATTTGTGAAAAGT